CCTGTTGTTGGCCCTCTAGAGGAACTGGCTGGCCCCTGTGTGAGATGGGATGACTGGACTAGATGGACCCTCCCTGGTCTGACCCAGCAGGGCTCTTCTTGGGTTCTTATCAGGGGAAGGTCTCGGCCTCTCTGCCCTGTTGTTGGCCCTCTAGAGGAACTGGCTGGCCCCTGTGTGAGATGGGATGACTGGACTAGATGGACCCTCCCTGGTCTGACCCAGCAGGGCTCTTCTTGGGTTCTTATCAGGGGAAGGTCTCGGCCTCTCTGCCCTGTTGTTGGCCCTCTAGAGGAACTGGCTGGCCCCTGTGTGAGATGGGATGACTGGACTAGAGGGACCCTCCCTGGTCTGACCCAGCAGGGCTCCTCTGAGGTTCTTATGTTATGTCCTTATGTCAGGTTAGTTTCCAAAACCCTAATCGTCCTCGTCACTCTTCTCTGCCCCCGCTCCAAGGTTTCTGTGTCCTTCTTATAAAAGGGCCTCCAGAACTGGCTGGGGGGGCTGGAGGGCTCTGCTGCTGTTCAATCTGGCTGCTGTGCCAGGCTAGACTTGTTGACGCTGGAGACAACCTGGGCCATGAGAAGTCACAGGGAGGGCCGGGAAGCTTGGGGTCACACAGGACGAAGCGCCTGGCCTTGTCTGCCTGAATCCTATATGGTCGGGGGCCTGCCAACCGAAGGGACTGCCTTTCCCCATACACCCCCCCCAGAGACCACCGAGGCCAGGGTCGCAACATCGCCTGGCCCTCCCTGGCCCGAGAGATGCCAGACTGGCTATTAGTAGAGCCAGGGCCTTCTCAGTGGCGGCTCCACACAGGCAGAACGAGCTCCCGGAGGACATCGGGGCCCTGCGATGCCTCTTGCGGTTCCGCAGGGCCTGTAAAACGGAGCTTTTTGGACAACGGCCTAGCTACACTGGACCACCTCGCAGTAATCGCCATCTGCACTCAGCGGCACTTTATGTAGATCATCTGTTATTTGAAATGTTATAATATTGTATTTAAGTTGTTGTTCTTCAGTCGCACAGTCGAGTCCGACTCTTCGCGAGCCCACGGACCAGATCACGCCAGGCCCTCCTGTCTTCCGCTGTCCTCTGAAGTTTGCTCAGTTTCATGTTCGTTGCATCTATGACACTGTCTAACCATCTCATCCTTTGCCGTCCCCGTCTTCTTTGACCTTCAATCCTTCCCAGCATCAGGGTCTTCTTCTCCAGTGAGTGCTCCCTTCTCATTGGGTGGCCAAAGTA